TTTTTTTTTTTTTTTTTACTTTCTTAATATTATTAATGAGTAATACTAAAAAAGGAAAGTGAATCAAAGTAGCTACTGAGCAAAAGTAATTTGTATGTAAGCAGAAAATTTTATTTCTTGATGCAATTTTTGATCTCTTAGTTACTTAGTAAACGATTTATCTTGATTTGATCTATTTTCATTAAATTCTTGATGTGATTAATCAAAATCATTGAATAATTAATTGGCCATAAAAGTTGGAAATTTTCGGATTAACGGATAAAATTTATGTAAAGTTGATTTTACTAAATTTCGTTTTTTAACTTATTAATAATGATTTGATTCAAAAGCCAACAATTTTCTAGTATTTTTGAAGCAATTTTTTAAACTTATTTACTATTATTTATTTTGTTGAGTAAAAAATAATCACTTTTACAGGTATTAACAATACTAATAATTGTGATAGTAATATCGGTATTAGCAATAATAACGCTATTATTTATTTGATTAATAAAACTTTATTATGGCATCAAAAAGTTACTTTGCAAAATATTTCAGAAAGATTTTATTTTCATGAATTGTATAATATTCTGTTGTTGCTTTCTAATTTGAAAGCTGAACAATTCTACCAATTTCATCTACCTCTGATATCTTTACAAAAAATCGAGAAAAACCTGTAGTGGATGCATATTTGGATGGATTTATTGCACCGTTGCATTGTTGTGATATTCATCGTATGGTCATTTATTACTAAAAGTATGACTGTAATTGGTGATGATAGTGAATATGATTATTTGGATGATGATCTGGATGAAAACCCAAAACCCGCAAATGTCTTCTGGAGTGATGTTTTAGATGGTGAACAGCTCAACGAAAGTAGCGATTCTTCCAGTGTTACTGTTAAGGTTGACAGGCGTAATTGCAGTACAGAAGCTTTCATTATGGATAAGTTATTAAATGGTACCGGCTATAATAAATATCGCCTACCATGTAAGTAAAAAATAAAAGTTTTTATTTTTTTAATTTAAAAAATCATTTTTGATTATTTTAATGCCACTAACAATTTTTCTGAATTATAATTAATAATAAATAATGACTAATTTTGAATTCTAAGCCAATTTTGATTTAATTTATTTTATAAAAATACAGTTATTATTTTTTATTTCTTTAAAAAATTTACATTTTTTTATCACAATTTTTACTAATTTTTGGTTTTTTCAGTTTTTTATCACTCAGTGTATCTAAAAACACTTATTTCTTGTTATTCTGAGAAAACTTCAGCTTAATTTATTTAAAATTTATCACTGATTCATCGGAATTTACATATAAGAAGTAATTTACTGTTATTTTTGCTTTTATTTGAATTTTTTAGCGAATTTATATCATTATAAAACCATAATAATCATAATTATGTTTTGTATGCAAGTATATTCTTGTATGATATAGAGATTCCTCATATTCAACACTTCTAACTTAAGGGATTATGCTTCGCACTTGACTCTCAGCTTGCAAGAAAATTTTTTGAATTCTTTTTTTCAAAATAAATTGGAATGTCTGTCTGTTTTCACATTTCAGTGAATTTTTGATTAATATTTTGAATGCTTTGAAAATTTTATCATATAAAGAAATTATTTAAATTAATAAAATATGTCACTATTTTTTATATAATTCGTTGAATTTTTGCATTTAGCACTTTTGATTTCTTTGCTAAATTTTAGTAAAAGTAAATTTGAGAAGTTATGATTT